ATAACAAGTGATTTTTCATTTTTGTGATTGTTAATGGTCAACTTTGCCACTTAGCAAAACAACTCAGATGGGTACATTTAAATTCTGCTTGATGAATTCCATGGCGTACCAAAATATATTGATACCCTATAGTCCCTTCTTTAAAAATCTCTAAGCATTGAACCACTGAGCATATCATAATTTATGTCAATGGGTGTTTTCAGAAGTGACTTAGAATAGGAATTCTAAGAGTCAAGGAATTCTAAGGAATTCAAAAGAATTAAACCTGGCCAGTTTCTGATTTCTTTGTTGCTGATTCATGTGAATACAGATTTGTCTTTTTCTTTATGGAGATCCTTTGTGACAAGATGTTTTACAAGGCTGTCTGAAATGTTTTAGCAACCCATTTTAGGGGGGGAAAGCTCAGAGAGAGAGAGAGGGAGAGCAGAATCAAATATGGCTCGTTTTTCATGTCACTTTGGCTCCCAAAGAGTAATGTTTACAGTTGTCAGAATAATTATTTCTGAATCTGAATACACCAGGTTCTCAGACACCACAGAATTACCACTTCAGTATTGTATGGCTTCTGTGATGAACTGCTTCTCATAAAGCAGCTCTGTGAAGTACAAAGACTAGAGTCTTGATCCTTATGAATCTCTTTTTTTTCTGATTCCCTGGAACTATAGAATCAGATAATAGTCATCTTTGCCTTTTAAAATGCCGCCATTGATCTTGTTCTAAGTACCTCTTCTGTAAAGATTTTCATAGACATGAACAAAGTGCAGTCCCCTGGCAGTATTTGTAGGTTGCTCTGTTAAATTATAGCATGCAGTGGGTGGGTGTGTATATGAAAGCTTTCCTTTTGTGCATAAATAACTTGGATCATTACTGTCAGATGGCAGCCTCCTAGCAGAAGTCTATAAACCAAGGCTTATAAACAGATTATCTGCTTATTGTATTTATATGATCGTTCTCCTTCAGGGTTCTCCTGTACTTGTGCCAGTATTCAAAACACATAAGAAGAATTTTTTATGCAAGTGACAAGAGGAAAGATTGTCCCAATAGCTCTGATGTGAATGGTCATTTATTCAGATAATGAAGTATTTCAATAATACTCTCTCCACATAATGAACTATTATATTTGTGAGTACAGTTGAGCTCACAGCACACAGAGATTTGAGAATGTTTACCAAGTGCCTGAGAGATTCTCAAGATGGCTACTTCAAAGTTGGTTTTAGACAAAGTTTTTGGAGTTTAACTTTTTACTCTTGGATAACAATAAACTGGACAAACTAAGGTCTATGCCAACTGTATAGGAGATTATTTTAAAATGCAATTATATGGCTATTAACCATGTGCTGTTATTTTCCCTTGAAAGTATTAGGATCACACGGATGAGTTTAAATGTTTTATCCTATTCATTGTTGGATTGTCCACAAATCTAAGGTTATTTCTTAAAAGAAGTCAAATTGTTCATATATATATACATAAATATGTATATATATGTAAAATAGATGGTTTAGGAGCATGTAATTCTCTAAATCAGGTTCATTCATGTATAATTTGGTTTCCACTAAAAGATTGTAGTGCTGCCACTGTTAATTACAATGTGTATAATTAAAGCCTAAAACGTAAGGACAAAATAAATGGTCTGTTGCACTAAAAAAATAATCCAGAAGCACTGAATCTAGCCTGTTCTATAAGTAGTGAGAAAGCAGTTTCCACCAGTTTAACTCAAGTGGATTTCAAAGCAGAGCCTTCTAGAAAATGCTTGTCATTATGTCTGAAACATATGGAAGTCTCCTTCAGAAATAATAGTTGGCTGAAATTATACAAGTGAGAAGGAAATAACATGTTTGTATTAAATTTCTCATGTGTGGTATTCTGCTAACTTTGATTTGGGGTACTGAATGTTTATTTCATTATATGTGCATTTTCATATGTGGCCCTTTTCACCCCACCTCGACCCCAAGCCTTTAAGCATCATTTGAATACAAATTCATAGGACATTTCCGACTATGCAGTCAACCCTTAGGGGCTGTGTAAGTGCACTTAGTTTTAATCTTGCCTTTCGCGGGTCATTGAAAACATTTACTGTAATAAATTTTGCTTTGCTTATTAGCTCTCAGGACATGAAAAAAGTCAGCAATGATGGTCTGTTCAGTAAGTGATGGGGTACAACGTCTGTTTGTCTGATTGTTCTGAGTGGGGCAGTGTCATGAGTGGATGCCAGGATGAGAGAATCAGGGGAGGAAGCGGGGGAGGGAGGGGGAAAAAGGAAGGAAGGGAAGGAAGGAGGAAGTGAGAAGATGGTTCTGAAATATGAGGGAAATAACATAAACAACCACTGACTACAACAGGGAGAATTCCAGGATCTAAGAGATTCCTGTTAGATTGTAAAAAAGAAAAAAAAAGGAGATTTAAAATGAAACAGCTGAATAATATTTCATAGAAAGTAAAATGGCAATACTCTTGAAATTAATATTTAAAAGAATGTGGATGTCAGGTTTAATATTATGACAGGCAGCAAGTGGTTCAGACACAGTGTTTAATCTTGTGTTCTGTCAGAGGGAAAGGAGTCAGAGATGGGACATGGCACATAATGGTATTCTCTATGAACTTGCCAAAGGTGAAAGATTTGCATTTACCATCCCTAAAATGAGAGTCATCTCAACACTTTAGTCCCTTTATGACTTGTCATTTTTCACCATCACGTGGAACTTAAGGTTTATGTGCTGTGTAAGATGTTCTGAACTGATTTGAGTTTACTGAGTCACTTTCTTCCCCCTTCTTCACTCTTCCTGACCCATTTGAATAAATCACTTTGTTGCCTCTGCCTTTCCTTTGACCACAGTGATATTCATGTCCTCCCCTTTAATTTTTTGCTTATAAAACCTTCTTTTTTCCTCAAAGAAGAACAAAATGGAACCAGGAATCTGATGGGACTTGTTTGGGAAAGGCAAATGGGAGGATGAGGACTGGTACAGGCATGATTATGTTCAAGAATGGTTGCTTAACAAAATATAATTGTTAAAATGAAGCTCCCTTATGTAATTAATTGATGTCAAGTACAATATTTTTACTTTCATGAAGTGAGGGCATTCTCCCTTTGAAATGATACTAATGAGAAACATTTTAATTATTGAAATAAATTAAAGAGAACCTACGTAGAATGACAGCAGAATGGCGCCTTTCTTGGAAAGAGTTGAGATGAGGGATAATGAGCTAACTAGCAATGTTTGGCACAAAAGATAAGAAGGAATTAGCATAGTTTCATATTTGAATGGCTGCCATGGTAAAGGTGGTGTACATGATCAGATCCACTGGAGCTCCTGGAAGGAAACTAAAGGGAAATCTTATTGTTCATTGTCCATAAATGTTCTCATAATTGCACCCAACATTGGAAGGAGAGGCAGAACTTACCAGTATTGAAGACAGAGGCAAGAAACTCTGTCCTACATGAAGCATAGATGAGTTTTATGCCTTCTAGGCAAAAATCTCTGAAATACCTACAGTCCTTTGACTAGTAATATGGATGTTAAATTAACATCTTTGAGATATATCTTTATGTGTATATATATGGTCTAAACGCTAAGGAAGTCCATTAGCAGGTTAAATTGCACCTAGAAATTTGGAACAGATTGTTTATATGTATCTTGCCTTGTCTTTGTGACAATTTTCATAATGCAATTTAATATATGCTATTTCTCTGCTTCCAGTTTCTTTTTCTTCTCTGTTTTTTCCCTTAAATCATCATTTCTTACATTTCTTTATTTACAGTTTGCTTCTAGACTCTTCTTCCCTCTCCTATCTTCTTCTCTCCTCTTAATGCATCTGTTCTGATCCCTCTCTCCCTCCGTCCTTCCCTCCCTTCCTTGCTTCCTTCCTTCTTGACATTCTCCTCTCTTCTCTCCCTTCCTTTGTTCATATATTTTTTAAACTTCTTCGTTCTTCTTCCCCCTTTTTAAAAATTCCTGTTCTCTGAGCTCAAATCGAATAGAATATAGACTATGTTTCCTCTACATTCTGATTTTCTTATTGTCTAGACCCATCAGCTTCAAATGGACACTGGCCTAAGGAGTACTATATAATAATAATGAACAAATGGTTTAATGGAACTTCTGCCTCCAAGTGATAGTGTACAACTAACATGTACCACACTGGCAAAACTATTGGTTTCGTAATCAGTAGACATGACATTTGGGGTGAAAATTCCTAATGCATCACTTGAACACTAGTAACATTAGTATTGCAATTCAGGTTACCTGAAGAAAGTTGAGAAGTAATTAAAAGGGTCCATGAGTCATTAAAAGAAAAAAAGCTGTTATTTTGTAGTGATGGCCTCTCACTTACTCCCCAAAGTCTAAATACAAACATGCTAGGTAAGTTAGTTTAAACCACCTATTCCAAGTACATTTAGAAATTTTGCTGTGTGCTGGTGGCTCACATCAGGCATAATAGCCACTCAGGAGGCTGAAATCTGAGGATCACAGTTTGAAGCCAGACCCTGCAAGAAACTCCATAAGACTCATATGTAATATACTACTCAAAAAAGCTGGAAGTAGTAGCATGGCACAAGTGGTAGAGTGCATCTCCTTAAACAAAAGAAGCTCAGGGTCAGTAAGTAGGCCCAGAATTCAAGCACAGCACTGGCAAAAAGGGTATTTATTGAAATATTTAAATATTTAAAGTAATATACAGTTTTTAAATTAAGCTGAGAAACACAGAGTACTGGATAGGGCATTTCCTAGTGAGTCTCATTTTGCAATGATTAGGGACATAGACTGAAGTATTATAGTGTTTCTACCACTTCAGGGTTATTAATTATGATGTTACACCTGTTTTTATTCACATTTTATGTGATCTAAAGAAGAAATATACCTTTCTCAGAAGATAATAGTTATTTGGAATGTTTATCTCATTTCTTAGAAGAGAATTTTACAATCATCCAGTATAATATACCATTATATCAAGAACAAATGGAATTGAATAGCAGACTCATTGTCCTGTCCCATTTCCAGGTGAAGACCCTGAAACCAGAAGAATGAGAACAGTGAAGAACATAGCAGACCTAAGGCAGAACTTAGAAGAGACCATGTCCAGTCTTCGTGGGACCCAGATCAGCCACAGGTTGTTCCCCAAATTTTGTATCTTTGGACCAATAAAGATAAAAAAATAACCCCAAAAGTCAAGTATGTCTCTTATAATGGAAGAGAAGAATATAAATTATCCTTCATTATTTCTGTACTTTAAAATTTCCAATAAATTATCACTAAAAACATCACTAATGATCACAATCAGTAATAATTCTTAAACAAAACATTCAGGATTAAAAAAAAAAATCTCTTCTGGGGCTGGGAAGGTGGCTCAGTGGTAGAGTGCTTGCCTTGCATGCATGAGGACTGGGATTGATTCCTCAGCACCACATAAGCAGAAAAAGGTAGAAGTGGCACTGTGACTCGTGGTAGAGTGCCAGCCTTGAGCTGAAGAGCTGAGGGACAGCGCCAGGCCTAGAGTTCAGGCCCCACAAAAAGAGAAAAAAAATCTCTTCTCCATATAATTTCCTGATCTAACTAAATTCACTGCAGCAACTTTGACCCTTGCTACTAAGCAGGTGCATTCCTGCTCTGGAGCATGTGGGAGGGGTAACAGGAAGACATTCAAGAATGCATGGAGGTGTAGATAGCTCTTGCAGACAGTCTGAGAAGTTTACAGTAGGCTGTTGAAGGTATACTTTAAAAAAAAAGAAGAAGAAGTAAGGCCATATTTTGTTCTGTAATGATGAAAACAAAGGACAGCTCTTCCCACGTTTTGTCATCTGCAGAAGTGATTAGAATCACAAAATAATGTATGCAATAATTTAGCAATCATGAATGCAATATCTAGTTAAGCAACATCTGAACCTGTCCTTTCCTGCTTTTATGCACTAGAGTAGAATTATGTATCTGTTTTCGTTGACAGCACCCTGGAGACAACATTTGACAGCACGGTGACAACAGAAGTAAATGGCAGGACCATACCCAACCTGACAAGCCGCCCTACTCCCATGAGCTGGAGGCTGGGCCAGGCATGTCCCAGACTACAGGCAGGAGATGCTCCCTCCATGGGGGCTGGCTACTCTCGCAGTGGTACCAGTCGATTCATCCACACAGACCCCTCCAGGTTTATGTACACAACACCTCTCCGCAGAGCTGCCGTCTCCCGGCTGGGAAACATGTCACAGATTGACATGAGTGAAAAAGCAAACAGCGATCTGGACATGTCTTCGGAAGTGGATGTTGGTGGATACATGAGTGATGGGGATATCCTTGGGAAGACTCTGAGGACAGATGACATCAACAGTGGGTAAGTGGTGCAGCCTGTAATGCCATTGGTGTAGGAAGAGAGAAGTTCTCCTGAGATGCATTCAACACAGAGGTCTTTAAAAAAAATATGTGAGCAGTGTGATGGATGTGAGCTGTTTTGGGGCCCGCCCTCAGCTCATGCATGGAAAGTTATATACTCTAGGTTTCTAGACGTTCTTTACATCATCAGACATTAAACTGTCCTATTGTTTTTCGGAGTGATTTGCATATGCTCTTCAGTAACAGATTTTTGTAGAATTTTATAGAAAAAGAAGTGGGAGGGGATAGGAAGATTCTGTTGAATTGCATTACTTTCTCTTTTGGCTCAGGTTGCCTAAAACTGCTTTAAGGAAACATATTTTGTGGTCCTCTCCAATTGTATACTTAAGTATACAGTTGGAGGGAATATGATGTTAATGTTTAAAGTTGCAATGTATTTATTTTCTTTGGATGTAATTATTTTTTAAAAAATCTTAGTCTTTGTTCTCCTTCTGTTTCCAAATATATTTTTAAAATGTGACTATAATACTCCTAGAGTATTTTGACACTTGGTTCAATACTTGGTTCAATCAGGGTATGAATTTTGATGGAGGAATAAGGGATGCGCTATTATAATTAGTACAAATGAAACATTCTACTAAAATTATTATTTGCCATTATAGTTATGCATACATATTTATATATGATGGAGTATAACAGACAAAAATAGAAAATATGAGAGAGATCTGTTCCTTGTATGAGAAAGCCAGAGATGTGCCAGGAAAGTTTAATTTGAAGGCATTTATTTATTTATTCATTTTTATTTTCATTGAAGTAGTTGTACAAAGGGGTTTCAAGTCAATGTCTAGATGTGTGCACAATGTATCTTCCTTCATCATTTTCCTCAATCTCTTCCAAACCCACCCATGTCCTCAATTTACTTGGTTCCATTTTCACATTCGTCATATTTTTACAATAGTCAATGTACTATTATTGTAAGTTAGAGAAAAATAACTTGGAATGTCTATGCTACAACCTATTAAAAATTAATCACAGAGTTCACTTTATCTTCCTAAATCTTCATTGTTTTCTTGATTAAAAGGACAGAAGGCTCAACAAACACAAAATGAACGATGATGTTTAAGAATTTTTTTCTCAGTTGACTACAACAGATGTCATGAAGTCAATACAAATAGGAATGACATTTTTTCTTATGTACTCTAGGTGAAAGTCAGAAAGTTATTTAATCAGCATTCTGAGAATTCAGAATTCCTTGAAGCATGCAAAGACTTATAGTTTTCCTTCTCTTTTTAAAATTACTTTCCACACTTGGGAATGTGAATCTGTCGGTAATTAAGACTTAGAGATAGGTTTCTCACTTATGAAGAGGGTGAAGAAGTATCTGTTTATGATGCAGAAACAGAACACTGGAAGTGGGGGGACAGAGTTATATAATGCATTGTGTAGAAATTTAAGTTAATTAAACTTTTTTTCTTGATGGATTTTTAATGTTTTTAATTGTAAAAAATACTGCTCAGAGGGGTTACAGTTAAGTGAGCCAGTGATAAATACTCACACCAAGCTGTTGGCCTAGAATTAAATTTCCCAACATATGTAATCTAAGAATTCTAAGGGAAGGGTGAAATAATTAAAAATAAGGACAAGGATATATCTTAATTGTACTCCTGCCTTGGTCCTCCCTCAAGTCTACTTTAATAAGCTTCCAATAATCGAATATTCATAACAAGGGAAAGGCCAGAGGTGCCTTAGTTGGGTTAAAAATGTCTTCTTTGTGAATTAAGGCAGATAGTTCCAAATCTTGATTCTTCCAATTGGACAGGCAAGATATGAGACACTTTTAGTGAATATAATTATTCTTATGGCCTTATCTGGTGATACTAGCTGACATTTATATGCTTACTCCAATCTAGCTAATGCTGTATGCTACCTGGAAATATGCATAATATTATCATCTCTATTCTTCAGCTGAAGTACTTGAGTTGTAGATGGTTTAAAAGACTTGCCTAAGTTCATCTAGCTAGTAAACAACATCATTGACTTCAACTAGTGCAGTCTGTTTTCAGTCTGCATCTTCATGATCATGATGTCTTCACACTATGAAATAATCTTCATGTTGCCATGCTTATGTTTCTTTCCTAAGAGATTAGTTTTATATTATCCATTTCACAAAAGTACTACAAGGCAGCTGTTTATTATGAGCATAGTTTTCTTTACTAACAGTCTAATCCAGGGGCATTTTTTCATATTATCTGTGCTCCTCTAAAGAATGATGACGAACTGTAATTCTTTTGTGGCAGGAAGGAGAATAACTTTAAGATTTCTTTGTGTATGAAAATTAGAAATTAGGTAATTGTGACGTACAGCAGTTGACATATGAGATTATGACTATAAAAACAATTCTAGGAAGATGATGATTATGGTAGAAGTTTATATAAGATGGTTTGGTAGAAATATAATTGTGTATAGGCTTTGAATATTCCCAAATCCTCCGTAAAATAAGCCATAAAACATATTTATATATGATTTTTATATAATTATTTTTAAATGATGTCAATATATTATCTCCCACATATAACTAGTTGGAAGTAAACTACATGGAAAGAATGGACCAGAATAAAATCAGTATCAATAGAGGAAGAAACAGATGCTAACACTGGGATATTTTTTTCTTTATTCTCTTCTTTTGTTGCTATTTTTCTGATACCAGGGATTGAACTTGTAGCCTTGTGCTTGTTAGGCAGGCTAACTTGTTCCATGCTTCTATCTCTTTTTCGCTTTGCTTATTTTTTGGATAAGATTTTGCAGTTATGTCCTGGCTGGCTAGAACCACTTACAGCCTCCAGAATAACTGGGTTCCAAGATGTGATTCCCCCACAAACAGTTTGTTTGTTGAGATGGAGTTCTCCTTAACTTTTTGGCAACAAATCTCAATTGCCACCACGCAAGTAGCTGAGAGGATACCTGTCTGACCCCAGACCCCTCCCCCAATGGGACGTCTGATAACACTAAGCATGATTGAAAACTCCAAATAGCTAACCAATACTGACTAGAAAACACATATTAGCTGAAGGAGAGAGAGGTTTTGACCACTTGACTAACCAGTGAGCATTCAAAGTGCTTATGGTCACATGTGTTTAGGACAGAGCATTTATTCCCAGTGATCTGTTTAAAAATCCCAGCCACCAGCCTATTCAAGAACAAGGAGCCAACAGAGAAGGAAAGCTGTAGGAAGTAGAATAAAATTGACCAGGCTATGGAAATAAAGATATTTATAGACAAGGTCTTAATGATAGTGAGAACAAATGGAATGTAAAGCACTCAAAAAGCAAGCTAGCCAATTTTTCAACTGGAATAAAATAACAGAAGATGTTGCTATATGAAATTAAAAAGCTATTTAAATCAACTTCTTGGTATTTATAAAAATTAATATAATAAGTGAACAAAGCAACATGGTCGGTGTATCTGATCTATACATACATATATATGTATATATCCAATAGATATACTGTATATGTATACAAAACTTGATAATGATTATCAGTGAAGAAATAATCAAAGCAAAGAATATAATAGCAAGTAAACAAATCACATTAATATAGATTTCACAGACAAAACACAAATAGCTAATAACAAAGCAAACATGACTGATTTACTTGGTTAAAAGGAACATAAATTAAAACCAACATTAGAGGTCATTTCACATCCATTGGTTCACATAAATATGCCAAATATTGACAAACATTCTCAACAAATATTCCTTTGTATTTACATATAGAGTTTAAGATACAAAATAATTTTCAACACTATTTGCCATTGACTAGTAAAATTGAATATGGTCATGACTTTATGACTCAGAGATTTTTCTCTTGAATACAGAACCTAGTAAACTCTTGCCTGCAAGCCTACTGCATCAAGTACATGAATGTTGGTGGAAGTATTATTTTAAACAAGAGGAAAGAATGCAACCATCTCAAATGTTTATGATGGCCAAGTGAAGTAAGAAATTACAATACAGTTGTAAACTGGAGCTGTATCACACTAAATTAATAACACAGTGATACATATTAAGATAGATGAATTATAAAAATGCAAGTTTGAGTAAAAGATACATCTCAAAAATGATTGCTTATCTTGGTGTTCAATTTTTATAAAGTGGAAAAAAAATCATGTTATGCTAAACAATTTATTGTAGTCTGCATACCCATGTGGTAAAACCATAAAGAAGAGAAAAAGAATGATTAGCCCAAAATCCAAGATAGTAGATAGCTCTAAAGGAGTTTTGAGGCTATGATTGGGAATGTGGGGATACTGAGGATAGTAAGTTAATATTTTTTATGATTTAGTAAATACTCCTATAGATTGTATACTCTTACCTATCACATATTTCATTATAAGCCTTTTTTAAATACATAATGCTGATATGATGCTACTGTTGGTTGTCATTAAGAAAACTCAATGGGATTGAGTGATTTTTTTTTTCTTTAAGAAGAATGTTTCCCAGTTTCAATGATTTTGAGAAATGAAGTATAGTGATTAAGCTGATTCCATCTTATAGTAGTTGGAGCCTGAGAATGAGGATAGAATGAGGATCAAGCCCTATGTAAACTGATGTCTGGGTAGATGGTGTTTTTTCCTTTGAATCCATTAACACACAAAAGAAGCAAACATTATGATCAAGACAAATTATATGCATGCATGAAATGTCATAATAAAATCCCCTACTATATACAATATATGCCAATAAAGATAAAAGGAAAGGGGTCCTCATTACTTAAGGGGTACTCAACAATCAGTTTCATTATATCTGTAAGATGGTCATGGGAAATTCATGTATAGGAAGTACTTCCACTTCTTCTTCTTCTAAAGTATGTGGAGTGTCATTGCTTGGAAATACTAACTTCAAGGAAATACTGTGTTATCAGCAAAGTACTTTGCTGACTAGCTTTCTTTGAGGGGGAAAAACAAAATACCAAAAAACAAAACTGGATCCCATAACACCTGAAAGATGATTAGCTATTTCTTCATCCTAATTTCTTAAGAGGGAAAACTTAGACGAATTCCATTTGAGATAAGAGATTGAACACCCTGATTGAGTTCCAATACCCAAGGAAGCAATGTGACCTAACAGGATTGTGTCTATCAGGATTGACTACTCATGTTATAGTGATGGCTGATTGATGAGGAGGAATTTTCAAACAAGAGACCAGCATGGCCCTTCTGAGCAGACAGCATTGTATGGTGGCCACTTGCATGGCTTAGAGAACTCACTGTCTGGATTTCTTTCTCGGATCTCATGATTGGTTTGAGTGACCACATGTACTTTAATCTTTTAGCACTTATTTTTCTTCATTTCTAGTATGAAGGTAATAATATTTTTACATGTAAGATAGTAGGTTCAGGCATCATGTTGAACAACTTAGTGCATTTTTGTTATTATCTGATAATTGTATAGCATAATTCTTACTTACAAAACTATTGTTAAGTTTACTAATGTCCTTCACTTTTTTTTCAAACATAACGCCTAGAAAATTAAATTGTCTTGCCCTCATTTACTAAAAGTTACATTTTTATCAGCTTGTTCAAATTTTTGATAGCAAAAGAAATAATAAATTCTTTAGTAGGATAGGTACAATAAGGAATGTTGATTTCCAAATAACATTGAAAGACATTTGCTTCTTCCTCACAAGAATATTTGTAAAGAAAGTATCTTCACAAAATTTCCCGAGCAGTTGAAGAAAATTGTTTATTGAGGAAAATCATACTGATGAGGTAATTTGATTTTCAGTTGATTAATGAGGCATCTGTTTTCAGATACATGACAGATGGAGGGCTCAACCTGTATACAAGAAGTCTGAACCGATTACCAGACACTGCAACTTCTAGGGATGTCATTCAGAGAGGCGTGCATGATGTCACCGTGGATGCAGACAGGTAATTTTGTGATGGTGAGGAATACATACGGAAATTTCATAACCAAAAGAACTGAACAACAAGAGTTGGCTGTTGGTTTTGATATAATTCGCCTTTTGAAATATTTTTAAACTAGGGATTTCATTCATACGACAATTTTGCATATGCAATGCAAAAAAAAAACTGTTACATTATCGGAGCCCAGGTTCATGCCTGTAATCCTAGCTAACCTGAAAGTAAGTCTAGGAGGATCATAATATTTAAGACTATCAGTCATAAACCTGAGACCCTGTCTCAATTAAAAGAAATAGCTGTACAAGGTAGTAGGTGCACATCATGCTAGCTAGGTAGGAAGTATAAATAAGTACATTGCAGTCAAGGCTGGACTGGGCATACAGTTGAGACTATTCAAAAGCTAATAAAAAACTGGGCATCACTCAAAACAAGCTTGTAAGCTTAGAATAATTTTTCTTACTTGAATGAAGCTATTTTTAATTCATATTACCCTTAAATTTACCTGGAGGCTAATGATATAAAAATGAAAATACAATACAAACCATCAGATATAATAAACTCCATGTGTTTCTTCACCGTTTTGTTGAAAATATAAAATTCTTACTTTATGGTATTTTCTACTCTAGTCTCTCAAATTGCTTAAAGGTGTGTGTGCATGTGCATGTGTGCATGTGTGTGTGTGTGTGTGTGTGTGTGTGTGTGTGTGTGTGTGCGTGTGTGTGTGCACTTACACGTATTTAATTTTTACTTGGTGGAAGTTATTCTGTTTACTTTATCAAAACCATCAATATTTGAGAATATTTTCTTTATGCATTAATATTTTAAAGTATATTCTTAATTATGTTCCTTTTTCAGTCAGAATTCTCTTTTGAGAAACAAGGAATTATCTATTTCCTCACTATGAATTCATAGAAGAGGTGTTTCCGGAGTAGATTAGAGGATGCACTTCGTATCAGCCACTTTCTCTCTGCCATCATGGTCTGCCTATGAGTGCCGAATGCTTATCGTATCCATCACATGCAGAGATGTTAGGAAAGTCGAGAGTTGGGAATGAACAAATGGATGAATATAGGCTAGCTGTTCATTACAGATACATACTTATTTAGGCTTGCAGAATGGACTAATTGGGAAACAAATAAAATGAGGTCAGGAATGAGCCCAAATACAGCAAGAACATTCCAAAGGAAAGGGAATAGGCTATTGGAAAAACAAGAAGCCGCACATCCAGAGGGAGAAACCCAAAGCTAGGCTACTTTTTGAAACTGATGACTTGTACATTGTTACATGACAGTGGAAACAGTGAACGGCGGGATATCTGCTTTTCTTTGGTAAATGAGGCTGTGATGGCAGATCCTAGGAATCAGCACAAAGAAGGCTTTAGTTGGGAAATAACTGGGATATCCTATGCTTCTTGTAAGGCTGGGGTCTGGCTGTGGAACCTCAAGCCAAAGTAATATGAACATTGGTTTGATTTCTTTTCGTTTTTTGGAGAGAAAAGGGTAGTGTAGAAAGGGCTGGAGGAAAAGTGAACAAATGCAACCATGCAATTCAGCATATACTGTGTGGAAAATGAACTCTAAATTGTGGGGAGGGTTGGAAGTGGAAAACTGGGGAAAATTGTCTGAAAAGTAAATGTACTCATTACCTTACTTATGAAATGGTAACCTCTCTGCAAAACAACTTAATGATAACAATGCAATTATATTTTTAAAAAGAAATACAAATGAGCAATGAGCATTGAATAAGCTAGGTACTACCAGAAAAAGGGTTCTCCTTGTGTAGTACCTGAACTCATAGAAACACTTGAGAGATATTAGGAATACAAGTTCTCAGACCCATCTAAAACTCACAGAATCAGAAATTCTGGTGTCTAAGCTTTTGATCGGAATAATAATGTACATAATGATCAGATTCATATGTACAAGAAGCACCATCTGGAAATGACTAAATATATGCCAAGCACACTAGAATCTAACAAAGAACATGTACATTGAAACATGAAAGATGATCATTTGAAGTTTGTATATACTTTATTAGCTATGTTTTATCATCTGATCTTCTCCTGGTGGCACTATCTGTAAATTAGGTCAAATCGTGGTTTGTTGGAACAGATCTTATAGCTAAATAGTAAAAACTGTTTGCCTGTAGTGCTAGTGACACATCTGTTTTCATAGCTAGACAGAAGGCTTAGATCTGAGGATTGTGGACAAATCAGCCTAGTCAAGAAAGTCCATGAGTCTCTTATCTTCAATTAGCCATCAAGAAGCTGTAAGGGGTAGAGTACTAGCCTTGAGTAAGTGGCACACAAAAAAGATAAATAAATGCATAATAAAGAAAAACAAAAATAACATGAAACCAAGTAGCAATTTCTTCATTTTGGAAAATTTATAGAAAATCTCTCAGGTGAGAATGCTACCTATTTAGAGTAGAATGATATCAGCCAGGCAAGAGATATTGCCCAATGGTTGTAACTGTAGAGGAACCTGGGAACCACTTCTTTAAGCTTTTTATAATCCAGGAACGCACAGATTTATAGTTAGTCTTCCAGACACAACATCCCTGGCGATAGCCTCGGGCTTGGCTGAGGTATATTTTTGGCAGCAACTAATTATGTTGTGTTTAATCACTTTCTGAATTAATATGGGCCATACAAAATATTACATCTGTATCTCTGGTGTAGAATGTGAAAACACACCCTGGGCATGAACCGTGGACAATGGACTGAGGAAGTACAGCCACTTGAGGAATTGGGACAGAGAAGACTGCTCTAAGATTGAGGCCCAAGGAGGGCTGAGTTTTGGGGAATGGAGAAATGTGGAGGTGGAGAACCATGTCAAATGCCACAGAAAAGTGAACGTTGGCAGCTAGTTTCCGCTTAGTGTTTCAATGAAGTCGTGGAATGATGAAGAGAAAAATGGAAGCTTAACAGGTGGCAGCAAAGGAGGCAAGAGAGGTGATCTTCGTGAAAGTAGCAGTTAAGGCAGGGCGAGAGGTCAGAGGAGTGGACACATGGGTAGAAAAATGGTTATTGCATTGCTGATTTACCTCATTTTGTTTGGGGATACAAATAGAATTTTAGCAATCATACAAAGTAAATTCCTAGAGAGATGGAGTAATGCTGGAGATAGAAAAATCTATAGAGACTGTGGGACTGCTGTCTATTTCATATGTACACTAATCACTCATGTCACAAGTTGCAACCTCATTCTCACTGTGATAATCCTTGGTAGTTGGATTAGGGAGGTGATTATGAGAACAGAACTCTTAGTAATGGATTTGGTAGCCATGAAGACACCTGCCCAGGGAGCACCTGAGCCCCTTCCACGTCTGAGGTTATACAAGAACGATGGCAGCCAGAGAGATACGACCTCAGCAGACACCCAATATACAGGTTGCTTAACTTACGGCATCCTAGCCACCAGGTGTGAAGGGGGAAGTATATGGTATCCAAAAGCCACTCAGTTGATGGTGTTTGTAATGAAGGAAAGAAAGAAAATAGAAAGGGAGGGAGAAGGGAAAAAAGGAAAGGAGATAGATACAGAAAGGAAAAGAAAGAAGTAAAGGAAGGAAGGCAGGAAGGAAAAATGGATTAGAACAAGGATTAAGGTTACAAGCAAATGTGATAGTTGGCTGAGGGAAGAGATAGTTCTTCCTGTGAAACATAAAGCATATTATCAACATTAGTGTGGAGTTTTGGGGAGAAATACTTAGGAGATATCATTTTACTTTCTTTGTAAAGTGGAGGTTAAATTATCACTGAGAATGAAAACCGTATGTGCTGGCTAGGCATTGAGAAGATTGTTAGGATTATCACTGAATGCTGATAGAAGTTTTGAAGATAATATGGAAGTCTTGCAGAGATTATGGAAAATCTAATTAGATTAATAAAGGCTCAGTTGAAATCTAATTCCTATAAAGAAAGTGACGTGCATTAAGAGTACGAAGCTGATTTCCAACATATTCCCAGCATTGCCATAATCTAGTTTGTTTGTTTTTGTTGTTCGTGGAGCTTGAACTCTAGGCCTGTTCACTGTCCCTGAACTCTTCAGCTCAAGGCAAGCGCTCTACCACTTGAGCTACAGTGCCACTTCTGGTTTTCTGGTGGTTTATTGGAGATCAGAGTCTCACGGTTTTCCTGCCCATGCTGGCTTTGAACCGTAATCCTCAGATCTCAGCCTCCTGAGTAGCTAGGATTACAGGCGTGAGCCACCAGCCCCTGGTTCACAACCAGTTTTATAGCATTCATTCAGGCCCAAGTAGGAGCCTCATGCCCATCTTCCTCCTGTCCCACCATTCCACTCAGCCGTGGCTACTACTTATGTACCTCATGGAAGTGTTTTCCTTTTCTAGATATTTCATATGCATGGATGTAACTGTTTATTATTTTTAAATCTAATCTTTGCATGTTTACTCATGACTTTCAAAAATGTCACCATATATCTCAGAGAAAGTACTGTACTTGAATTTAACTCCCTAGTGAACTATTTTGATCTATGAGACTACAATTCAAAGACTGAAATTATGGCAGATGAAAAGGCTTGGAAAATGCAGTAAAGGTTATTATGAGTTTACATGCAACTCAGATTATTAGTAGTTGTTACTCTTCATATGTGAAAAGAAGTCTGGGTCCATGCTTTTCAGAGCAAGTACCCAAATCTACAGTTGTTAGCAATGTGCAAACAATTTTGTTGCCATTAAAAAAAAAAAAAACATAGAAAATGCTGCTGAAACCATTTAGGGTGTCACCTGTAGAGGTGGGAGACCTTTACTTTTCCCACGCCTATTCCAAACTGGAAAAAAAAATCAAGGTCAGTGATTTCTCTTAAGGTAGCAGGCAACTTATCACAGAAGTCAGGTTCATTCTGCTTGTCACTAAACTGTGTACTCTGTAATATTTCATTGATTTGTTGCAGCTTAATTATAGAATCAATCTTTCTGTATCATAAGTTATTTCCTTTATTAACTCACTAGTTTTCTATAGAAATTAAAAGCAAGCACAAAAAATA